GTCATTGCAATGCTGAAACCAAACTCATGTAATTCAATATATTCCTGATCTTAATAAAAGTCTTATTTGCTGATAAAAAAAAACATAAGGAGTGCATGTTTCTCCTTTCTCTAGTTCCTCCCAAATAAAGTGTTTATCCACCTCAAATATGCTTGGTTCTCTCATGGAGTACTGGGTTGGCTGCAATATTGATAGCAGCCTTAGTCACAGCAGAGTGACGTAGGACCATCAAGAGGAAAACCCAATTCTCCTAGTAGATTTTAATCCACAGGAGTTCAGCAACACCATGAGCCATTGCCTTGTACTCTGCTTCTACACTAGGTATAGCCACCACACTATGTTTCTTACTTCTCCAAGTAACAAGATTTCCACCTACAAAGGTATAATAACCACTAGTGAATTTCCTGTCATCCATTGAGCTAGCCTAGTCAGCATCAGTATAAACTTCAGCATTCATATGTCCATGCTTCTTAAAAAGAGACCAATCTTAGGGAACTTTTCCAAGTACCTAAGAACTTTGTCTACTGCCTCAAGGTGTGCAGCCTTGGGAGCATGCATAAATTGACTGAGGACTCCCACGACATATGCAATGTCATGCCTAGTCATCGATAAGTAGAGGATTCCTCCAATAAGCCTTTGGTACTATCTTGCATCCTTTATGGGCTCATTACTGTAGTCCCCTAGTTTGTGGTTCACATCAATGGGAGTGTCAGCTGGTTTGGCACCTAGTTTCCCTATATCCTTCAGAAGGTCAAGAGTATATTTCCTTTGAGAGATGAAGATACCTTGTTAAGAGTGGGGAACCTCAATTCCAAGGAAGTAACATAATGGTCCCAGATCCTTCACCTCAAACTGTGTGGCCAAGAACTTCTTCAGCCTCTGTATCTCTGAGACCCGATCACCTGTAATAACAATGTCATCTACATAGACTATTAAAGCTGTTGTTTTCCCTTGTTCCTTATTCACAAAGAGTGTGTGGTCAGTTTGGCATTGCTTGAAACCCATTTGTTGAACTGCATGGTGGAATCTGCTAAACAAGGCCCTGGGAGACTATTTCAACCCATGTAGAGACTTCTTCAACTTGCAAACTTTCTGCTCACTACCTTTTGCACAGAAATTGGGAGGTTGGTTCATGTTCACTTCCTCCTCCAAAGCACCATTCATGAAGGAATTTTTAATGTCTAATGGGTGGAGTTCCCAATCCAGACTTGTTACTAGACAGAGAAGGACCCAAATAGAGCTCATCTTTTCTATAGGAGCAAAAGTTTCTACATAATCAACCCCATACACTTGAGTAAAGCCTTTTGCAACCTGACAAGCCTTGTATCTCTCAATTGTGCCATCTGCCTTGTGTTTCACTTGAAACACCCATTTGCACCCCATAGGTTCCTTCCCTTCAAGAAGATCTACCAACTCTCACGTTCCTTTCTTATGTAAGGCATCAATCTCCTCCTTCATGGCATTTGTCCATTCAGGAACCGATAAAGCCTCTACAACACTCTTAGGAAGGGGAACACTATTAATGGTTGAAAGCAAAGCATGAAAAGAGGGTGAAATATTCTCATAGTATAAAAAATGAGCCATAGAGTGGTGTGCGGTACATGATCTGCCACCTTTCCTCTTTGCAATGGGAAGATCCAAATCATAATTCAAAGTATCAATATCAATAGGTTCAGGGGTATCAACTGGAAAATGGTACCTAGATGGGACAAGGGATCTAACCCCCAAGTGTCTGGCGGCATTGGTTGCACAACTTCAGGAGGAGGATCAAGAAGAGGAGGTAATAGAGCCTGTGTTTGTTTCTCCTTAACTTTACTCTCCCTCTAAGGAGAAATATGGAAAAAGGGAACATTTTCAAAGAACGAGACATCCATAGACACAAAATATTTTTTGGATAGGGTCAAAATAGTGGTAACCCTTTTGAGACAGGGAATAACCAAGAAAAGTACAAACAATAGTTTCAGGATCAAACTTACCTCAAGTGGGAGAGAGATCATGAACAAAGCACTTACAACCAAAGACACACATGGGTATGGGAAACATAGGAACTTCTTCACATTGTCTGATTGGAAGCAACAGGAAACATAGGAACTTCTTCACATTGTTGAGGGGTCCTGGCACAAGAGCTTCAGTGAAGAGAGCAACAGGAAGCAAAAAGTGAGATAACCATGGAAAAGCTTCTTCACATTGTCTGATTGGAAAACTTGGATCTCAGTCTGAAAATGAGTATAGATCATGTGTTGAAAATATTTCACCAATTTAGGAACTTCTTCTCAAGAGTGCATAGGATAAACCCAAGAGTATCGAGAAAAATCATTAATAAATGAGATAAAATACTTATAGCCATTCTCAATTAGAATATTAACAGAACTCTACATATCAGAATACACAAGATAAAAAGGAAGATATGTTTTTTTATTTCATAAAGGAAATGAAGCTCTATAATGCTTACTCAACTGACACACTTGACACTTAAAATTACTACCTGACACAGACTTAAACAATTCTAGAAATAAATGCTTCAACGACTCAAAAGACATATGGCCCAAATGATGGTGTCACAATATAACTTGACTCTTACTTGACTAACTCAAGGACTTTGAAACCACAAGACCAACTTTCTTCTCCAACATATAGAGGCCATCAACCATCTTCCCCCTACCAATCGTCTTCTTGGAAGTCAAATCTTGAAAAACACAAGAATGCGAGAGAAAGGTTATTGAACAATTCAAAGTATGTGCCATACTGCTAACAAACAACAAATTAATAGGTAACCTTGGAACATCCAAGACATCTAATAGTGGAAGACCAAAAGGGCAAAGATATAGATCCCCGACCAGCAATGGAGGAGAAAGATCCATCTGCTAACCTCACTTTATCTCTGCCTTAAAGGAGGGTATATGAATGGAAATGGGTTGACTTACCAGTCATATGGTTTGAGGCACTAGAATCAATGATCCATGGGGATTCTACAGTCTTAAGAGGCTACTTAGAAGGTAGAGGTTGAGTTACCTGAGGAGGATGCAAAAGAAGTTGAAGGAGTAAGCCCAATATTCGCATGTCTAAGAGCCCTACCGTATTGCTCCAAATGGTCACGGAAGGATTAATAATATCCTCCTTGAGATCAGAACCGGGGGGGGGGGATCTTCAGATGAAGTCACTGCTGAATTTCCATACTATGAATCATGAGCTGCTAAGTTGGCTGAGGTATACTTCTTCTGATTTGGTTTCCTATTCTAATCCTATGCTGACATCTTGCTAAGTTCTTGTGCCCACTTTGGCTTCCCATTCAACTTCCAGCAAGTTTCACGGGTGTGCCTAAATTTCTGACAATGGGTGCACCACAGTTATCTTTATCATTTTCTCTTTTCTGGCCTTCCCCTTTCTTTCTTGAGTTCATGTATCCCCTTTCTGCTAAGGAAAAAGTCTCCCTCTCAGGAGCATTCATAGCTGATTTCTTCTTTCCTCTGACTGAACTAGGGTATAGACTTCTTGAATAGATGGAAGGTCCTTGCTACCCAAAATTTGCACTCTAATGGGATCATACATAGGGTTGAGGCCCAATTGGAAAGCAAACACACATTGTTGAGACAGAAGTTGTTTATAAGCTTTGGCATCTTTTAAACTTTCCCACTCAATGTTCTGGTAGAAATCCAACTCTTTCCAAACTGAAGTTAGGGCTGAATAGTAGGCAGGCAAGCTCCTCTCCCCCTGGTTACATGTTAAAGATTCAGCTTGTAATTGGTAAATCCTGGCATAGTGCCTTTGCTCTAAATATGTTGCTTTTGCCTGTTCCCATATTTCTTTAGTTGTCTCAGCCCACATGAAATTCTGTTTAACTGAAGGTAACATGGATGTCAGAAGCCACGACATAATCATGCAGTTTTCTTGGTTCCACTTGTCATATTTAGCGGTCCCTGATCTAGGTTCTTTTATCTTCCCATTGATATATCCTGCCTTTCTTCTAGCTGTAATATACATCCACATCTCTTTGGACCAAGCCAAGTAGTTCCTACCATCCAAGGGAGTGATAGTCATAGAGAAATTTAAAGTATCATGACCACCATTCAGTCCATCCTGATTAGATGTGGTTCCAGATGTTGCAGAATCTTCCATTGCCATATATAATAACTTTAGAGTGAACAATGACCTCTTTTCTTTCAGTCCACACGCACGGATGACAACCACCCTCACTCTTTTGAGATTTTTATGCATGTAACAAATACAATCACACACAGAATCTGCTGTCACACACATGTACAGGTCTGTCTAACCTTTCCAAAGGACAATACAAGTCCAAAAACATCAACAAAAAATACTGCAATACCCTGCCAGTTGAATCAGGTCACTCATGACCTACAAAGGTGTTTCAAAACCTTACAGTTTTGAATCTACAGGTCCACACACCCCCTTACACCATTTGGCCAATGTAAAACACAGCCTGTCTTGGACTTACTGCCAAGAACTAAGGCTGCAAACAATCTAGTTCTTGGTTCTGTTCAGTCCAAGCAGATTCTTGTAAGATTTCAATCCAGAAATAATAACAGCACAGAAAAAATCAAAGCACTTTCAATAATGTTTTTGAACAGAATGCTCTTTCTATAATGGTCTCTTCACTTCAAACGCTCTAACATTCCTCTCTTCCCAAATCATCCAAATCAAAGCAGCTGTTGTGCATCTGCACATTATTTTCTATCAGGGACTGAATAGAAAATACAAAATGAAAGAAAATAAAATATGTTCAACTCATATGATACAATGAAGTATATTAATATGGTGTACATGCTATTAAGATTTTCTTATTCTCTGCATTGACAAAGTTGAGACCATGAAAAGACTTGTCCAACTTTGTCTTGTAGGTGTCTTTTCAAGGGTCCTGGAAGAATGTAAAAATTGCACATGATTGTTGTTTATAAGCATTCTATAGGTAATTTTCTTTGTTTTTATTATTGTCATTATCTTTGTTTATCATCATTATAATTTCTTTGTTATCTTTGCAGATCAGAGACTTCCATATAGCAAAACGAGAGGAAGATATTGGTTTCTATGCAGGATTTGTTGGTAGTATTTGATACATCACAATTTGCAATAGTATATTTTTTATATATTTACTGAAGTGATTTACCTTCTTAGGATATAATGCTGATAAAGTCATTCGTTTCTTGAAGGATCTTCATTCATGATTGGAAGAGCTTTAACTTCAGTTTTCTGGGGAGTGGTAGCAGATAGATATGGTCGAAAACCTGTTATATTGATTGGGACAATTTCAGTGTCAGTAACATTACAAACTTTCTTTTAATTTTGATCCCTGGTTATACTATCCAAGAAATGAGTTTGTTGATTGTTTATTATAAATGTTTCTCCATGATTGAAATTTTCATTATTTACCCTCAGGGTTATATTCAATACACTCTTTGGCCTCAGTACAAGCCTTTGGATGGCAGTTTCTATGAGGTTTCTTCTTGGATGTTTCAATTGCATGCTTGGGCCAATAAGGGTATTCTTCTGTATATATGTCTAGATGATAATATGACAAAACATAATTTCTTATCTGGTAGAAATGTTAGCCACTGCTAAGTAATCATTTTTATTGTGGTATTTGCTCCCCTTGTTTCATTTTGTACCGCTGATGTGTTCAACATTACCAATTGATTGTATCCATTGTGTTCTAGGCATATGCTTCAGAAGTTTGCCATGAAAAGTATCATGCTTTAGGACAATCAATTGTAAGATACTTTTCTTTTCAGTGCTTATCATGGATTCCTCTTTTGTTCTGCATCACTCATAACAAAGTATTTATTGATTTGACATTTCATTTCAGGCTAGTACATCAAGGGGCATTGGGTTTATTATTGGTCCAGCTATAGGAGGTTTCTTTGTACAGGTTGAACAGCATTTCCTTCTTAACTGTATTTACTGGTAACTATTGTTGCTTACTCATGTAAACAATAAAATAACAGTTAATTTACATAAATTGGCTGATTGAAATGGGATAACTAGTTATCAGTTGTCTATATGAATCCTCAATACTTAAAAATAGTCCCTCCCAACATCTTAAGGAAACCCATAAACAGTCCTCCAAGAAGGATCCTTTTATAGTATAACTCTAGGATATGGCCTCCAAAATAGATCTCACATATGAGACCAGGTGTGTCATAAAACTATATGACCTTCCCACCAAACATTTGGGAGTTCTTAATAGGCCATCCTCTAAATTGGAGCCTAATTAGTTCTATGTATAAAGAACCGCCTAAGTGGGTGGTCTGGTCACACAGAGGTGGGGAGAGATAGGGGAGTTTCTCCTGGCAAACAGATGGAGGAAAATATTTGCAGTGGAGGACAAGAACTTCATTGTAGAAGAGGGGATGGGGTGTTATGAGCTGCTAGTGTTGATAGATCAGCCATTCATTATTGGGCTTTATTTTTTCTATTTTTATATGAATATTAATTTTCTATTCTATAATTTGTTCTTGTTATGCTTATGGGCTTGATTTATCTTGGACTGTGGGCCTTTTATTTTTCTTACATATTGTTTCAACTAATTAGAGGCAGACTTGAAAATTCATAATATATTGATTGGTTGGCTAAGTACAAAAGAAGTGGAGGGTTCTTTCTAGCTCCCATGACTGTGATTGTTCTTCCACTTTCTTTTTCTCTTCTCCTTTTTTATACTTTTTTCTTCTTTTCTTCTCAATTATTCTCGACTTTTATCAATTTGCTGAAAACTGTGGAAAAGACATCAGAATTTATGGATGAATACCTTAGAAACAAGAGGTTTTTAAATAAGTAGGAGTAAAATGGAATATATACTATGTATATTTAATAATAATATGGGTGCAAACCAGGGTATACTTAGGATTGGAGACCAATGCATCTTCAATAGGGGTCTGGAGGCCAATAGTAGAAAGGGTGGAGAGGATCTCTGGGGGGCAGAATCACACTCATTAGGACTGTCCTTTCAAGTCTACTGACTTGTTACCTTTCATTGTTGAAGGTTCCAGCTGTGGTGGCTGATAAGATAGAGAAATTACAGAGGGATTTTCTATGGGAAGGGGTTGGGGTCCAATGAAGTTCCATTTTTTTATCAGCAAGGAAAGATTGATTTTATTAATAGTGTGAGGACAAATTACAGGATTACATTAAAACAGAAAATACAGTTGTTACTTCACAATGTGTTACAATAAAGCCCAGAAAAGTTGCTGCCCCTAAACTCCCTATTTAGCTAATGAGTCAGCCGTCCCATTTGCGGTCCTTCTGATCCAAGTGAAAGAAGCATTGAGTTCCCTTGCTAGGCTTTCAATATCCCTCAAGGAATGTCTATATCCAAGGATCACTACCCCTGTTATTAGACCAATAGATCACCAGTTTTGAGTCCCCTTCAACCTCCAAGTTTTTCAAATTTGTTTGTTTGGCAAGTTTTAGCCCCTGAAGAAGTGCTAAAAGCTCAACCTTTATTGAATTGGCTATCCCTATAGGTATTGTTATGCAGGAGAGAAGAATGAAAGAAGAGAGAAAAGAGAGAGAGAAGAAGAGAGGAGAGAACTGAGAGCAAAAGGATTACTGCTGGCGGCGCAGCTTTTTAATATATATACTAAGGCGACAACAACTAAAATAGAAAAGGAGCAAAAGTACAATAGTAACCCTACGGTACTATACATAGGAAAAAATAACAGCTTTTAACACTCCCCCTCAAGTTGGGACATAGATGTCAATCATGCCCAACTTGTCACATAAATCATGATGTCTTGAGTGGTGTAGTCCTTTTGTAAAGATGTCTGCAAGTTGATCCTCAGAGCTGACATAGGGAGTACACACTTCCGTTGTGATAACTTTCTCTCTGATAAAGTGCTTGTCGACTTCGATGTGTTTAGTTCTATCATGTAGCACAAGGTTAGCAGCAATGTTTATGGTTGCTTTGTTATCACAGAATAGGGTCATAGGTCTGTCCACTAGAAAACCCAACTCACTCAATAGATTCTTTATCCACATAATTTCAGCCATTCCATGAGCCATTGCTCGATATTCAGCTTCAGCACTAGATCTAGCCACCACATTTTGCTTTTTGCTTCTCCAGGTAACTAGATTTCCTCCTATGAAGGTACAATAGCCACTAGTTGACTTTCTGTCATTTAGGGATCCTACCCAATCTGCATCAGTATACACTTCAACTTTTAAATGCCCGTGCCTTTGAAACAACAAGCCAGCACTTGTAAACCTTTTAAGGTATCGGAGGATTCTTTCTGCTGCTTCAAGATGAGTGGTCATAGGGGCATGCATGAACTGGCTAAGGACACCAACTGCATAAGCAAGGTCTGGGCGGGTCATAGAAAGATATAACAATCTCCCTATAAGTCTCTGAAACTGTTTCACATCCTTGATAGGTTCACCTTGGCTGTCACCTAATTTATGGTTAGGATCAATGGGGGAATCAATTGGTTTCACTCCCATTTTTCCTGTATCCTGGAGTAAATCTAGGACATACTTCCTTTGGGAAATGAAGATACCCCTTTTTGAGCGGGCCACTTCAGCAAGGAGGTGTCGGTTCTTTCTTTCAGCAACACCATTTTGTTGTGGTGTTCGGGCACAAGAGCTATGGTGAAGTGAACCACGTGATGCAAAAAATTCCGTGAGATCACTATGAAAATACTCTTTGGCATTATTTGACTGAAAAATTTGGATTTAAGTTTGAAATTGGGTGAAGACCATCTGCTGAAAATCTTGGATAATTTTTGGTACTTCATCCCTGGTTTGCATGGGATATACCCATGTATATCTAGAATAATCATCGATAATGGTAATAAAATTCTTGTAACCACTCTCAGATGGTAAAGTAACAAGGCCCCACACATCAGAATGAACAATGTGAAAAGGAAATTCAGATTTATTATTTTTTGAAAGAAAATGAGTTCTACACTGCTTACTCAATTGACAAGTTTGACAAGAGAAATCTGAAACGGACACTGACTTAAACAATTCTGGAAACCCACTTTCAAAGACTCAAAAGATAAATGACCAAGATGAAAATGCCATAAATAAACTTGACTCTTACAGGACTGACTCTTAGACTCTGTGACTTGAAGACCAGCCTTATTCTCCAGCATGTAAAGTCCATCAACCATACATCCTCTACCAATCGTCCTCCCAGAGGCCAGATCCTGGATCACACAGTAAAAAGGGAAAAAGGTCGCTGAGCAGTTTAAGGAATTAGTAATACTACTAGCAGAGAACAAATTAATGGGAAATTTCGGAACATGTAAAACATCAGAGAGGGTAAGGCCAAGGGGGAGAGAAATGGTTCCTTGACCAGCTATGGTAGTATATCATCCATCAGCTAGTCTTACCTTGTCTCTTCCAGAAAGAAGGTGATAGGTTTGAAAGTAAGAGGACGTACCAGTCATGTGTTTTGAAGCTCCAGAATCAATGATCCAGGGAGTGTCAGGGTTATGAGAAGCAACATGGAAAGCTGTGGCAGAGTTACCTGATGTAGACGCAAATGAAGTTGAGGGAGGAGCATTCATCTGACGAATTGCTCTACTATAGAGCTCTAAATGGTCACGGAAGGAATTTATAATATCCTCCCTTGGGTCAGATCCATATGAATGTGTTTGAGTCACAGTATGAATGGGGGGCTGATTCTCCTGAGTAGCCATGTTTGCCATAGTGTGTTTTCTTGTACCTTGCTGTCCTGACTTTTTATTTATATCTGAACCTTGCTTCTTATTTAGATCTTGAGCCCATTTCGGCTTCCCATGAAGATCCCAACATGTGTCTCGGGTGTGTCAGGGTTTCTGGTAATGAGTACACCACAATTTGTCCTTGTCATCCATCTTTTTCTAAAGATCTCCCTTCCTAGAAGTATTTCCCCCACCGGTAGTAACACTCCCTTTCACTGCCAACACAACTGCATCTCCTCCAGAACTGTTCATCAAATTCCTTCTGGTTTCTTCTAATTCTACAAGAGCATAAACTTCCTGAACTGATGGAAGATCCTTGCTACACAAGATCTGGACTCTGATAGATTCATATATAGGGTTCAAACCATGTAAGAAAGCAAACACTCTTTGCTGGGAGACGAGTTTTTTGTACAGTTTTGCATCTTCATAACACTTCCAGTTCACACTCTGATAATGATTTAACTCCTTCTAGACAGAGGTCAAGTCTGAGTAGTACACAGATAAACACCTCTCCCCTTGTTTACAAGTAGACGATTTTGCTTGTAGTTGGTAGATTTTTTCATAGTGTCGTAGTTCCGAATATGTTGATTTTGCTTGTTCCCAAATCTCATTTGCCGTTTCAGCTCACATGAAATTCCTTCTTATTTGAGGTTGCATAGAAACTAAAAGCCAAGACATGACCATGCTGTTTTCTTGGTTCCATTTGTCATATTCAGCACTCCCAGAATGTGGTTCTTTGATTCTCCCATTAATRTAACCTATMTTTCYCCTTGYAGTGATGTACAGCTTGATCCCTCTTGACCACTCTAAATAATTTAAACCATCAAGAGGGATAACGGCCATGGGAAAGGATAGGTCCACACCCCCACTCATTCCATTCAGCATTGAGGAAACACCAGATGTAGCAAAATCTTCACCACTCATGATTTCAGATTCAAAAACAACTCTTAAATGGTGTACACAGCCTTAAAGTGTTGTTACAAGTGCTGTTACAGCACTAACAGGTCATCCCTTGACTTACTAGTTCAACACTAGTGTTGCCACAGTGCATACAGGTCATCTCTTGACATACCCATCAACAGGACTACTGTTACAGCAGGTACTGGTCACTTTCTGACCTTCATTTCACCATAAAAGCTGCTGTTGCAGCACACAAGAGGTACTGGTCACTTTCTGACCCACAGTTCACCATAAAAGCTGCTGTTGCAGCACACAAAAAAGGTCTTCACAACCTACAGTTTCACAGGGATCAGTCGACTCCACAAAAAAGGAAAGAAAGAGGTGCTGATCACCTCACATCCAATCGGCAGACCTAGTACAGGTTCTGCCCTGGCACACGACCAAAAAAAAAAAGGTAGGAGAGAAAGGTTACTTCAATGTGTGAGATCTTCAATCAGCCGAACAGCAGATGAGGGCGGCAGATCTGGAAATCTGGTGCGAAGAAGAAAAAAGACTGTTCGCTCGACTTCTCCTTTCAGATCTGGTTGTCCTGCTCTGATACCATGTTATGCAGGAGAGAAGAATGAAAGAAGAGAGAAAAGAGAGAGAAGAAGAGGGAAGAGAGAACTGAGAGCAAAAAGATTACTGCTGGCGGCGCAGCTTTTTAATATATATACTAGGGCGACAACAACTAAAATAGAAAAGGAGCAAAAGTACAATAGTACCCCTGCGGTACTATACATAGGAAAAAATAACAGCTGTTAACAGGTATGTAGACCAAATGAAGGTGGTGTGCTGGGATTTAGAAAGGTAATAGTCTTTAACAAAGCCCTCTTAGGTATATTGTTGTGGAGGTTTGGGTTGGAAAGGGAGAGGGAGTCTGAGAGTCTCTTTGGAGGAGGGTAGTAGTTGGGAAATATGGGGTGGTGAGATTTGGGTGGGAACTGAGGGAAGTTTCAAATTCATATGGGGTGAGTGTTTGGAAAGGGATAATGCGTTTCAGCCAAGAATTCAGAGCATTGGCTAGCTTCAAGGTAGGAGATAGAACAAGTGTAAGATTTTGGCAGGACGAGTGGTGTGAAGCAGGGAAGCTGAGTGAGCTGTGCCCAAGGTTATACAGACTGATCGACCATCAAGTAAAGGTGGATCAGTGTTTTGAAGTGAGGGGTGATCAGGTGGTATGGTGTCCTAAATTTAGAAGACTGTTGTTGGATCAGGAACTTGAAGAATGTATACTGCTGCTGGAAAGGTTTCAGCAAACAAAGATTTCAACTTCCTCAGGGGATGGGCTGTGGTGGAAAGAGAGACGGGATGGAAAGTTCACTATGAATTCTTTCTATTTGGATTTGGTAAGGGATCATCTGGACTCTGACCAAGTTGAAGGTGTGTGGGGGATCCCGTTTCTCCTTGAGTGGAAGCTTTTGCATGGCTGGTAGTGTTGGACAGCGTCCTAAACTTCAGATACTTAAAAAGCAGAGATTTCAACATGGCAAGTTATTGTTACCTATGCTGTTCGGATGAAGAGAATGTATGCCATTTGTTCTTCTTGTGTAAGATTGCAAATTTTATTCCTTCCTTTTTGGGGTCAGTGAATTTCAGCCAAGGCCTACAGCATAATTATTCTCTTCCTGGCCAAGATTCAGTGCTCGCAGGAAATCAAGGGTAGTATGGAGCTGCATATGTTGGGTCGTTTGGAATGAAAGGAATAGGAGGTTGTTCAAGAATATTGAAATGCTCGTGGCCACGGTTTGGAATCTATTGTCAAACTGGGTTTTGGTGCTCCCAGAGTTTGATCAGGTTAATTGTTCAGATTTGGGGGAGAATTTCTGGAATGTCCTTGAAATCCAAGCTTGTAATTTTGAGCAGTTCTCTGTGATCTAGTCTGTATATGAATTGTATTGGTAGGGTGTCATCTTGACACCTCCCAGACTGTAATTTTCCTTTTTCATGTTTAATGAAATATTTCCTTTTATTCTTTAAAAAAAGGAGACCAATAGATAACTCAATGTGATATTTTCCAGTATGTTGGTTCAATATTATTTTTTGATGAGTAACAGAAAAATTTTACTAAGGAAAATGATGTAGATACAAACTGTTGTAGAACTCAATGCAGCTCTTGAGAGCATAGCCCTTGCTATCTTTCCCCACTATATTTTATTTACAACTGGGCTCGAAAACACTGCCCTCTATTTACCCCTTCTTGTTTTGCTAAATGATCAACCAAACTGTTTGCTGTTCTTGGTACCCATTGTATAGTTAATTGCATGTCCCTTGAGAGCCATCTTAACCTTTTAATTTCATTCTTGTATATCCAAAGAACATTATCATTTTTCATCAGCAAACTTATGACAACTTTTGAGTCTCCCTCAATGACAAGTTTCTTCACCTCCATCTCCATTGCCTTCTGCACTCTGAAACTTGCTGCCAATTGGTTCTTCCCTGGTTGAATTCCCTTGTATTATTGGATCTAAAAGCATAGCCTGTATTTTTACATTTTCATCCCTTATCACCCCTCCTATTCCAGACAGTCATGGATTACCAAATCAAAATTCAATTTTAAATATTCCTTTCCCAGAAGTATCCAACTTCTTGTCACCTTTTTCTTTTTTGAAGAACCTACCACTGTTCCTTAATTCCTCAAAACATCAGCAGTCGTGAAGTCAGAAAATAGCTCCATGGACTTCATCCAATCTGCTATCTTTTTTTGACATTCATAACAAGGGAGAGATCGGTGATTACCACTTAGATTGAAAGGAAAGTTCTATAAAATAGTTGTAAGGTCAGCAATGCCATATGGAGCAAGAGTGTTGGGCAATCAATAAACAGTGTCCAAAAAATAAGTGTGGCAAAAGTGCATATGCTGAGATGGATGTATGGAAAAACTAGAAAGGATAGGGTCAGAAATGAAGTCATTTAAAGGAACCTGGGAATAACTCCAATAGGTGATAAAATGAGAGAAAGTAGACTTAGATGGTTCAATTACATGCATAAAAGACCACATACACCACTGACCACCCTTAAGAAAAAGCCATCAGTCACAAGTTTAAGGGGTTAGAAGGGCTAGGGGCAGATCAAAAAGGAAGTAGGTTGAAGTAGTAAGTGAAAGCTAAATTACTGTAGCCGAAGTAACAGAAAAGAGAAGAAGAAGAAGAAGAGATGCAGGAATGTCGAACTCACCTGCTCCGTCGACAGTACTATTATTTATATTATGGTGTAGTACAATGATACAGGAAGTTACTAGAATGCCCCTGATTAGTGATGGGACACCCAGACAACTTAAAACATTAAACATTAGGCCCATTAACAAAGGCCCAGTACAGGACAACTTAAACTTAAGTATAGGCTAATAAGAACTCTTATCAGCCGAATACTCATACATACAAAGACTTCAATCCAACAGTAAGAAATGATTTAAGAACTCATGGTTTAACAATGGATATGACATTAAACAGAATGGAATGGTGAAACAGGATTTATGTAGCTGACCCCATATGGATGGGATAAGTCTTAGTTGATGATGATGAATCATTGCTGAAAATTTAAGTTGATACCAGAGCAAGGTTTCTCTTCTTCTGTGTGTGTGTGTGTGTGAAACCCATGTGTATTTAGGATTAGTAGTGTACATGGGTATTGTAGAAGCTGATTACCATTTTTGATGTCACCTGATAATTTTAACGACTTTTGGAGATTTTGATGTTTGATTTGATGCATAGAAGTTTTTCCTAGCATATGCTCCCCAATATTAGAGCAAAATGTCATTATATTACAGCAGTTATATAAGATAATGGGTTTCTCATTGAGCCCCATGATCTGTTCTTTAATTCTTTTCTTCTCATTCTTTCTTCTTCTCTTCTCTCACACTTATTCTAGTTTCTTACCTTATATCATATTTTATATTGAGTTTGGTTGATTTTATTGGGTCTGGGTTCTGCTGGACTGATTGATAATTCTTTTCATTATGGGTGGTTTGAAATGATGGAAAATAATTCGTGACATATTCAAAACAGGAGCCCATGTACTTACTGTATCTGAATTCTCTTTAACACATATTTTGTTTCACTCTCCATGTTCTAAAGAAACCTATGATTATTTGTTTGGAGAGTTCAGAAAAGATTCTATCCATTTGGATATATAATCCTGGTTTCAAATTGTGTTTTTGCTACATCCCCTTACATAAAGTTGTTTCTGATAATAATTTCCCACCCTCAAATGTTTTTCTTATGCCTTGTTAGTCCTTTGGATTAATTCAGTTCACTAATTTAGTTCATTTGGTGCAGCCTGCAGAGAAATATCCAAATATATTTTCTGATAATTCTCTGTTTGCAAGGTAAGTTATACTAAAAAACCTAAATATCTTAGTTCCTTACTTCCTGACTGTCAGTATTATACATCATAGATCAATTTATATTGAGGTCTCAGAAAATAAACAAATAGAATGTATTGCAGGTTTCCATACTTCTTACCATGCCTTATCATATCAATCTTTGCTCTGGGGGCATTTATTTCTTGTTTTTGGATTCCGGTAAATTTCACAATTCATTCTATTATTTCGTTCTTTGGAAACTGAACCATAGCATTCTTCAATTTTATCCATGTAATATTTTAATTCTTTTTTTTATTCTAGCATGCCAAGAAAAAAGTTTTTGTACTGGATTTCTTTTGGCAAAATTAAAGTTGATAACTTGAATGGGAAATAATTAAAATCTAAAAAATATAAAAGCAAAAAATTGACCTATTGTAGGGCTTGGGGTTTGGATAAGAAAATTTAAGGAGAAAAGTATAAATATAGACAAATAGAATAATAGAGGAAAGTGAAAAGGTGAAATATTCTTATGCTATTCATGATCCTTTAATTTCATTGTTTGAACTCCATTTTCCTACCCATATTTCCAACATTCTTTGTTTTTTGATGAATAATGAAGAATTTTATTAAGATAAAGTTTGAAGTATAAAGTACACTGACAAGTGGTTACAAAAACAGAGTTCTCCCAGAAAGCGCGAGTTGCTGCCTCACATAAAAAGTAGTTACAATTGAGCCCAGAATAAGTTATCCCTGTTCACCCCTTGCTTAGCTAGTAGGTCAGCCAGCCCATTTTCCGACCTCCTCTCCTACTGAACTCTTACAGTGAGATTAGAGGTAAGCCACATGAATCTCCTCATCCCTCCCCTAAAAGACCAAGCTACTGTCTCCGGTTCTTTCAGCCCATATTTCCCATTTTCTTTAACTATCTTTATCTTGATTCTTGAATTAATCATCAATATTTTACATGTTCATTTATAATACTTCTGTCTTTCACTCCAGATAGACTAGTGATCAGCTTTCAGAAATTTCTATACGCTTTGCTGACTTCAGACAGGAAGAGAATAAAATGGTTTGAGAGATGAAAAAAGTAATGAATGTACATCCTTTTTCCATTGCTTATAATTTTGAGACTTTCTACAAAATGACTAAAATACTCCTGGTTGTTTCGCCCCTACTCAAAACGTATTTCAACATTGTGGTCCTCTGTCTCCGAGGATGTGATGATTTCTGAAATCATAGAACTAGACAAAGCATGATAAGAAAACAGAGGAGAGCTAGAAACAACCTATGCCATTAGTCTTGGGGCCATGGAATCATTTAAGAAATATTGGGATTACTGACCCATTCCTTTAATAGAAAGCTTATCAGATAATTCATTAGTTCTCTCCTTAAGATTCAATTCCAATAATGACTATCTATAAATTGAACATGGGGCTTAGGTATTCTCTTAGAGACTTCAATCTAGACCTAAAAATTGACAAAAAAATTTTCTAATCGTTTTAATACAGAGAATCCTATATTAACCCATAGATGTGACTGGATCTCCTACCCACAAGAACTCTATCCACACCTACCCACAAGAGACTACAGCCATACATTGGGAACATCTCCTCATGAATAACAACATACAACTATACAAGTATGGGAGATGTGCCCAATGTGTTGCTCAAATGTCTTGCGGGTAGGTGACCAGAGTGCTAAATAAACCCATAAGATGGATTCAATTGGTGAGGAAGCTTTGGTGACCCTTAGTGACCCTGTCCCACTTGGTGTTTGGATGTTCTGAAAACTAGAGTTTCGTTTGAATCCTATTTGATACAAACTGGGAAGCACGGAATACAACTTTTTTTTTTCTTTTTGATAACTCGAACAAGGAACGCAATAACAAAAGAAGATTCTTAGCAAATCTTGATGGTAGAATGCACTTTTGACCAGAAAGAATACTGTTTGATTAGTCAAAACTTAGTTGATTTGGCTGGCATGTAACATGCATTTATGGTGCATAAATTCTGGCAAATTTCAGTTCAGTCAAACATGTGGAAGTTCCCTAACTGAATGCTTCAGGATGACTGGTTTTTGGGTTTTACATGGGGGTGATCATTCTTGGCCTGACCCAGCCCAACCTGCAATTTTTTGGGCTTGGGCCTAGTTTTTTTCATTTTTTTGTTTTTTGTGTAGGCCTGGCTCGGCCCAATGTGTATATATATAAAATAGTTAATAATATATAATATTTTATAATATGTTCATATTATAAAGTACTATATTATGTACTATATGTAATAAAATATAAATATAATTATATGTTATATACGTACAAATGTATTTTATTTTATATAAAAATTTAATTTATATTATACATGTACAGTTGTATGTTGACACATTGGTCAACTCACATATGGGAGTTGTCCTCCTAGGCGACAAGGCTTTCATTCTAATTACCAAGCAATGTGGGACTTGGGACAACACTTGATAGTGAGTGCAGTACTATTGAGTTGACACATGAGTGTAAAAGTATTGAGTGTTGTCCCAAGTTCCACATTGCTTAGGAATTAGAAAGAAGGCCTTGCCTTCATCTATAAAAGGATAGACAAGCCAAGCCTATAAATTAGAGTGAACCCATTTCCTATTTTTTTGTGTCATAGGCCTAAATTCAAGCCAAGCTTGGCCTAGTTTGGGCTGATGCAAATATTTTCTTTAACGTATCATACATTTACACATCATATAATGGAAGTAGTACAAAGGAAAAGGAGTATGAGCATTAGAAAGCTGATTATTGAAGGAGACTTCAAGCTGGTGCTGGGCTAGCTGAAGGAAGAAAGGAATGGGCTTTGGAACTACAACAATGAAAGGAAGAAATTTAAGTGGCTAACACAAGACATTGAACTAAAAATGCTTTGGGTTAAAAGAAGTGCTATTAATTCCTTTGCTGATGTTTTAGCAAACTAAGGGGTGGATAGTGATTCTTTCTTTTGGGCTCAATTGTAATCAAGGATTGAAGTATTGGTATCGAGTATTGTATCGGACAACTTGGATACAGATACACTTTGGAAACGCATGGATATGGACGAAAAATATGGATATGCTAGGGAAATACATAAAACTTTCATAATACATTAATAATATTAAATTTAAGGTCAAATAACCATAAATAATGTATAAATACATAGAATGCATATTTTAATGGTGTATATGGAAAAAATATATTACAATAAATATAATATGATGCATAATATCATACAATTTTATTGATAATGTATCAATCAAGAGTGCAAAATGCAAAACATGTTTTCCTATTATATTTTAATTATAATATCAATTATTTTCGGTTTTACTATTTTTACTTTTTTACATTAACAAAGAGGTCAACCAAATATTAAATGCTCCATGTAAATTAAAATATCCATTAATAATTTATAAAATGTAGAATCTCAACTTAAAATATATCAAATCCATTAAAATTTCTAAGATACATATCATATGCAAATTCATAATTTTTAACTTTTAAAATGATTATTCCATTATTATATTTTTATTCCTATAATTTTCTAATTAAATTTTTTTTGGTATAAATGTAGATTAGTAGATTTGATAGATTTAATTTAAGATTATATTCTGTAATGTAAATTAATATATATATATATATATATATATCATGTGCAAATTTATAAATTTTAAGTACTAAAATAATTATTCTCTTATTAATATTATATTTTTATAATCTTTTTTAAGATTCAAATAATATTTTTATATAAATGTGGATTTGATATATTATTTATTTTATAAAATACTGATTTTAAGTATTACTTTTTTAATTTTTAGTTGGAGTTAACTGTAATATGTATTATTTATTTGAACTTCATTTAAGTAATAAAGAAATAAAATCTGTATTCATTTACTCATAAGCACAAAATATGGAGTGGCGTAGTGGCATACAGGCGCGGACGTTAAGCTCTCCCTTATCTCTTGACGCGGGTTCGAATCCTTGCAACTTTCTTTTTCAGTAGAAGAGTATGCGTATGCGCATTCACGTCTCACAGGTAGCGTATCATTCTATATCGGTCTATATCGATATGTATCAGCCAATACAGTGCGATACGAACCGATACACACCCGTATCAGCCCGATACGCATGACTAACAGGATACATCTCCAATTGTAGTGTATCCCGTGCCAGACGCTAACTATAACGATATGATATGCTCCATATCGGACGTATCGCATCGATATTTCAATCCTTGGTTGTAATTTATTGGAACTTCAATGGGAGGGCTAAGGGAAGTTGTTTTGAATCTCTACTAAAGCTTTTCTATTATTGATAAAAAATTACATCATATAATTTGAATTTTTATAAATAATTAAGTTTTCACTTTTTTATGCACATAGGCCCAATGCTCAGGCTAGGCCTATATAGACCAAGGTCCGGGCTGGGCTGGGCCTAGGCCTAGGACTAAGCTCTAAGCCTTATCATAGGTGCTAAGCCTGGCCTGGTCCAATAATCACCCCTAGTTCTACAAGTCATGATTAAAGTCGAATTCAATAGGTTAACTAGTGGACCCCATTTTTTCGTGTCATCTACTATTGAGTCTTTATGTTAAGTTTGGTCCATGTTGGTTTAGTCTTTAAGAGTTATGTTTCAATCTTATGGAAATATACTATTTATAGTAATTTTAAGACTTACTATCTGTTGTAATTTCCATAATTGTTATTTATAGTAAGTATCATGATTATTATTTATAATAAAAGTGTTGGTTATATTTTAAGTAATTCTTGGTTCCTTACGTTAAGTTAGTCCTAGTAGAATTAGTAGAGTTATAAAAGTATCCTTGTTTGAATACGGAGTTTCTATTTTTGTTTGTCTGAATACAAGGAGTTAGAGTCAAAGTACAAGTTGGAAGTTGCTTCCTTTTGGTCTATAACAGCAAGTCTTGCAAAGAACATTCTATTATACACTTATACTCTTTTAATAATTTTTCTATTCTGCTTAGGAATGAACAGAGTTATTTTCTGTTTCTACTACAGACAATAGCTATAGTAGAGATTATTCTTGCTTCCTCTTCTAATTTTTTCTTCTTTATTTGCTTGTTAATACTGTTAGACAGTTTTGTATGCCCTTAGCTTCAATCATTTTGATGTACTTTTGTTATTTAGTGGAAATAAATAAAGTGCATGTTTGATTCA